GGTCGAATGGAAGACTTATAGATATGTCAGATAGATCCTGGAGAGAAAAATTGTCTAGCAGGACACAGTGAACCAACTTTCTTAGCAGCAGACCTAGCAATGGATTCGATATGTCAGAAATATTTCATGTCAGAAAGTTAGTCCAAGAAGACGCAAACGATTCACTTTCCTGGAGGTTAGCATCAGCCATAGTGATGAAAGTCAGAAAGAAGTCTCAAACTATGTATAAAATAATTTACTCCAGGTAATAATGGGTGTTTATTTTGTAAAAAAAAAAGAAAAGAAAAGGGAAAAAAATTATTAAAAATATTTTAAAAATAAAGATATTATTTCACGTGCATCGTTCTTTTAGGCAACAGTTAGTAATTTTTTTTCATTTCTTTTCAGCCTTTGCCAGTAAGCATACAATTATTGAATCATTATAACCGGGGTGAGCATGAAAGTAGACCTGAAATTATCATTAACTATAAAGACTCGGGAAAATTCCACGTTTTTCCTATTTAAATTGTCTGAGGAGTCTTAATCCTTAACTTTTTAGTTAATGATTGAATATGCTCATGACAAGTTCTACGACAATGAAGCATCCGTAGAAATTCCCCTATTGTGTCGTTAAATATTTGAGCTTAACAACTTTAACAAAATATTGCAATAATGATAGTCGTTATTTTAAGAGGTGGCTGAAAAGATTTGAAACTGATAAATTCCTCCATTTCACTGAAACAGCCGTTAAACATTTCTTTCTTTCTTTCTTTCTTTCTTTCTTTACTTCTTTCTTTCTTTCTTTTTTTCTTTTTCATTTGCTCACTGATACCAAGTGGTTATTTTCCCTTTTTTACGCGATCAAAACAGAATAGTCTATTATTCATGAGGTATTGGCAGAAGACTAAATGTTTTAGCTTCCTTTCTTTCTTTCTTTCTTTCTTTCTTTCTTTCTTTCTTTCTTTCTAGCCAAATCCCCGTTTTGCGAACATTTCTCTTAATAATAATTTTAAAATAATTCAGAAAACGATGCTATTTTAAAATTTAATTTATGGTAATCGAATTTTTGGCGATTGCTTGCTCGGGTTTTCATCATTCGATACATTGCGTCTGAAAGTGGCACATTTATGCGGCAAGATAAAACTGTAGTATCTGTTCTTACCGCATTTATTCTCTCATTCACTTCTATCTTCACTTATTTCTTTCATTTTTTCACTAATACCAACTAATATATTTCCCGCTCTTTCCACGTGATCAAAACGCGAAATAGTCTATATATATTATCATTAACGTGTCTAAAAATGCATAAATTTAAAGAATACGCACTATTTAAATACAGTGGTCCACTCGTAAGAAATAGCAAAAAGTCTTTCTGAGAATAATACAAGGTGCGGCAAAATTAACTTCCTTTTTTTATTTATTAACTTTTATTGATTAAAAAAAGAATTAGAGTAGTTTAAGATGGCTTAAGATTAATTATGGCGTATGCGTTCGAGAGCGGTTAAATCTGAATTTCGAGCTGAGGTGGAGAAGTTGAGCGGCCATTGCGATCACCACAGCTAACACCGCCTTTTTCTTGTGGGCTGTACTGAAAAATCTTGTTTAGTCTTACTATTATGTGGGAGGTATTTTGGCCGTTCTCTGTAGAAAAATCAATATTCCAACATTTTTGATTCCACCAATCTGTAACTCCAAATACTGGACTGAAGGTCTAAATTTTCACTTTTTTGGTAAATTTTCACCAAAGGATAGAATTCCTTCCTGTTTGAGAAAAACAGACGACTGGTAGGCAGACAGAAAATATGTAAAGTTAACATTTCCTCATTATTATTGGTTCGCTTAAAGTCGACCCAAAAGAGTCTAGCGAAAAGGCTACGAGTATTGCTGGTCTGAAAATAGTATCATAAAAATCAGCCAGAGTGGTAGAGGAACTTGCAGTCTATTTCTCTCCAGACGTAACCAATCGTTAATTCTGTTAAGATAACTCGATGAGTATAGATAAAATTGTAATAAAGAAAAGAAGAACCGGTAAAAGAATTTAAAAGTCAGACAGAAACTATAACAAACGACGAATAGTCATAGAGACGAGGTTACGCTGAGGACATATGAAAAGAGAAATGGAATCTGTAATCATTAAATATCAAAACAAATGCATCAGTACCAATGATATAAAAACGGGAAAGGTGCAAATAGCGACTTTTTGGAAATAGAGTTGATACAGTGATCTAAGTTAATAAACGAATGCACTAGAATTAATCAAAATATTTTTTAAAGCACATAATAGGAACAATTATACACTTGGAACTGTGCAAATGTCTTGGGTTCGTCAGTGTAAACAAGTAATACGGGCATAAACAAAAGGGTGTTGTAGAAATTAAATGGAATAATATACTTTGGTAATTTGAGATAAAATTCACGGCATCCAAGCCTAGGTCCGGGAAAATGATTTACCAATTGCTCGCAGGTCAAAAACGAAAGTAAATTAATAGCAATAATAATAATAATTAGTAGTACCCGTGAACATTTCACGGTTTTGTTAATTCGATTTTCTAGTGAATCATAATTGTTAAGTTAATTACAGAATAAGTTGTTTGCTAGTTCTAGGACTCTAAGGTACTTAAGGCAAGTACCCTGTTGCATCGGTAGATATTTGAGCCAAGCCAAGAAAATAGTGCAATAACAATCATAAGTAAGATTAAAGGTAATCATTTAAAGAAGTAAGAGGACAGAAATGAAAAAATGGAAATTGAGAATTTTTTTTATTTCGCTGAAGTAACCGTTTAAAATATGAGAGCGTTATCGCCTCTTCTGTTTTTCCTTTCTTTTTGCTTGTTTTTTTTTTCTTTCTTTCTTTCTTTCTTTTTCTCACTGAAACCAAATAGCATCGTCCTGGGTATGACGATAAATTACATCCGACAGCATGGCCTCATAATCGGGAGGTTTTGAGGAGCATGGAACTACCTCTAAACTTGCCCATGGTGCCCAAGTTCAACGTAAGGGGTTCCAAATAGTTAACCCCCAAACTGGGGTCAAAACATTATGAAAGTATAAAAATAGATCTTTACAGTAAAAATACCAGCAATACATTTTTTAAGAAAAAAATATTACCAACAATACATTTTTGAAAAAAAAATATTATCAGAAATAAATTTGATTCTCGACAAAAACCCTTTTACAAAAATACATCAATGAAAGTTTATCTGCAAAGAATACATATTTCGTTCATATGAACCTATCCTAAAAAATCTTATCGGCACTAAAAGACTCTTTGAGATGTTGATATGCTGTAAAACAAAATAAACCAAACCAAACAGCGTCTCTGTTATGTCTTTTCCGACTTTCTCGCGATCAAAACGTAGTCCGTTATTTACGGGGTATTTGCATGGTGTAACGGACGTGTGAACAAAGGAAAGAAGCTGAAAAGAATAAATATCATTTAATAAGTCATATGTTTCCCAGGTTCCCTTGTGTGGTGCGGACCCAAAAGACTAGACCAGGATGTGAACTCGGTTCGCTGAAATTCTAACCTAGCCTTTCGCATTAATACCCCTGTGAAAAGCGTGAAATTCATCACTTCTACCCCACACAACAATCCCTTCCCCATAGCCTCTCACTACTCTATCGCTATTCCCAAGGAAAGTGTTCAGATGAACTAGATTCCTTCGTCCCAACAGGTCTAACCTTCCCGGCAAAGACCCGCCATGACACTCAAATTCTAATGAACCACCATTATTCTCTTCGTATTCCACTGATGAGATGTAACTTCCACTCGAACAGGTTCTTCACACGAACCGCTTTTTGGTGGAACTGACTTCCAAGACGATGCTTCCCTGATCACTACAACTATAACTTGTTCAAATCAATGGTTAACCGTTATTGTACCGACATATACCCATAAATTCTGCTTTTATTTCTCTGTGGCTCTATCTAGCCTTACGTGGCTGCCAGTCTAGGAGAAAAAAATACTCTACATTCAAAACAGTAGATAAAGCATCAGAAATAATATTATCTTCATAATCTTTCTCGAGAAGTCATGGCAATTCGTATATGTTCCAGAAAAGGAGTTGTTGAGTGACAGCACTGCCTCCGTTTCGAGGAGTTAGCATAAATATCTCAGAAAGTTAAAAAATTGTCAGGCAAGAAAAATATGCAGAATAAATATAACTTTTATAAGAAAAAATATCGAAAGAATAATAAAGGAAAAAAAAAACTTATAGAAAAAAAGGACTATATCTACGAATATAGACGAAATATCCTTAGATATTGTCATGGGGACGATAACAAGCTAGCACCCCTGTAGATTAAATAAGTTTCAGTTCGAAATTTCCTGAAGGTTTAACAAGCTCTTGATGAAATTTCCTGAAGAAGGCTGTTGGGCACAACGGCCAAAATGTTGTTATAATAACAACTGAGATAAGGACAATCGTCCGCATGTAAATAATGTAAATAATGCTAAATCCTCATCCCAGAAAAGGTTGATAAGTCGTAGAAAGTAAATCAATCAATTCTCATCCTATAAATTCAAACAGAAAAAAAAACAGAACCAAATATAAAAGAAATAAGATTAAATGAAGTCGAAAGAACGAAAGGGGAGAAGTAAAAAAGTAAAAATGAAGAAAAAAGAAATAAGAAAATAGAAACAAAAGGGAAAAAGAATGAAGAAAAAAGAACAAAGAAAAAGAAGGAAAATGGAGCAATAAAGAAAAAAAAGACGGAAAAGAAGCTAGGAGCGGGTGGGTAACAAGGAGAAAAAACGGGAAAAGAATCAATGTAGAAAAAGAAGGGGAAAACATGAAGGAGAAATAAGAGAAAAAAAGGAAAAAGTAAAATGAAAGAAAAAGTAGAAAAACATGAAGAAGAAAGAAAAAGGATGAAAAAGTATAAGAAGAAAGGAAAAAGACGAAAAGACATGAAGAAAGAAAGATTATTATATGCGAAAAATAAAAAAATGTACAAAAGAAAGAAGGAAAGAAAAGATCGTTATATGCAAAAAAATAAAAAATGTAAGAAAGAAAAGATTGTTATATAGGAAAAGTAAGAAAGAAAGAAAGAAAGAAAGAAGGAAAGAAAGAAAGAAAGAAAGAAAGGATGAAAGAAAGAAAGAAAGAAAGGATGAAAGAAAGGAAAGATTTTATATACGATAAAAATGAAAAAGAAAGAAAAAAAAAAAAAAGAAATAAAAAAATGAAGAAAAAGAAAAAGGATGAAAAAAAGTATAAGAAGAAAGGAAAAAGACGAAAAACATGAAAGAAAGAAAGATTATTATATGCGAAAATAAAAAAAAAACAAAAGAAAGAAGGAAAGAAAAAAAAGATCGTTATATGCAAAAAAAAGCAAAATGTAAGAAAGAAAAGATTGTTATATAGGAAAAATAAGAAAGAAAGAAAAAAAGAAAAAGAAAAAAGAAAGAAAGAAAGAAAGAAAGAAAGAAAGGATGAAAGAAAGAAAGAAAGAAAGGATGAAAGAAAGGAAAGATTGTTATATACGATAAAAATGAAAGAAAGAAAGAAAAAAGAAAGAAAGAAAAGACAGTCATATGCAAAAAATAAAAAGTATAAAAGAGAAATGTAAGAAAGAAAAAAAGAAAAAGAAAGAAAAGATTGTATATACGAAAAATAAAAAAGAAAGATTGTCATATGCAAAATATAAAAATGAAAGAAAGAAAGAAAGAAAGAAAAAGATTGTTATATGCGAAATATAAAAATGAAAGAAAGAAAGAAAGAAAGAAAGAAAAGATTGTTATATACGAAAAATAAAAATGAAAGATAGAAAGAAAGAAAAGATTGTTATATACGAAATATAAAAATGAAAGAAAGAAAGAAAGAAAAAAAGAAAGAAAAAAAGAAAGAAAAAGATTCTTATAAGCAAAAAATTAAAAATTCATGAAAGGAAAAAGGCCAGAATAAAAACGAATAAAATAAGCAAGAAACAAAAGGAAAAAAAAAAAAAGAATCTATGAAAGCAAGTGGGTAAATCGAAATCGTTTTAAGAAAAAAAGAAAGAATGAAAATATTAACGGAATAAAACCAGAAACAAAAACTGGCAATTCTGGTTTTGCTGAAGATAAAAGAAGAAATAAGAAATAAAAAACAAAACAAGCGGCAACCGTAACATATATGGGAGTTAAGCGAGTCAGCGAGGCAACACCAAGAGAACAAGGGAAAGAGAAGGGCGTTTTCCATCGGCAGTTGGAATCGGCACATTATCAGAGATTGGTAATTTGATAATGATTACGCCATGTTTTTTTTTCTTCTTCTTCCTCTTGTCTAGTGTGTCTTTATTTGAACGAACCGATCAGTGGCAGATGGTGATGATCTGTCGAGTTCCTCGTTCGAAAACCTATTCAGACTGGTTTTTAAAGTCTATGGGGATTTTGGTGAGTGTCTTCAACCAATCATGGCAAAGTGCATTGCTGCCAGGAGCGTTTGGTTGTTATGTATAGAGGCGGGAGCGGGAAGGTCGGCAAGATGTGGGTGTGGGTGGTGGTCTAGTGGTTAGGGTGAGGCGAGGACAAAGATGTTAACAGTGGTTGTGACAATGTCTTCGGTGCAGAAAATAACATTAATGTTTGTAAGTAGCCGGGTTGATGGGTGGGAGATAAGTAGGAGGTTGGGGTAAGGGTTAGAAAAAGGGGGGTCATGAATGAATCAGTTTCCACGAAAAGAAAGAAAGAAAGATTACCATGGCCGAAAAACAAAAGAAAGCCAACGAGGACATGTAAAAAACAAAAGAAAGAAAGAAAGACAGACAGACAGACTAGACCAAGTGAAAATAAAAGAAAGAAATAACGAAAGAAAGAAAGATTAGCTTAGGCTAAAAAATAAAAGAAAAAACTAGGACATGTTTAAAATAAAAGAAAGAAAGACTAGAACAAGTGAAAAACAAAAGAAAGAAAAAGAAAAAGAAAGAGTAGGAAAGTAGAAAGGAAGAGACTAGAATATGCAAAAACAAAAAAGAAAGAAAGAAAGAAAGAAAGAAAGAAAAACTAGAAAAAATGTAAAAAAAAGAAAGAAAAAAGAAAGAAAGATGATTAGTATTGGTGAAAGACAAAAGAAAGATCCTAGACTATGTAAAAACAAAAGAAAGAAAGAAAGAAAGAAAAAAAAAAAATTAAAAAAAAAAAAAGAAAGAGACTAAAGAATAAATAAAAATGTAAAAGAAAGAAAGAAAGAAAGAAAAAAAAAACTAAACGATTAAAAAAAAAAAAAGAAAGAAAAAAAAAAAAAAAGAAAAAAAAAGAAAATAAATGTACGCAACAGAAAAATAAAAAAAAAAAAAAAAAAATGAAAAAAAATGAAAGAAAAAAATAAAAATCAGAACAAAAAAAAAAAGAAGAAAGGAAAGGAAAAAGAGAGAAAGAAGATTTTAGAGAGGGAAAGAGAGGGAGAAAATAGAGAGAGAGAGAGAGAGAAAGAAAGAGAGAGAGAGAGAGAGAAGAGAGAGAGAGAGAAAGAGATAGAAATAGAGAGAGAGAGAGAAAAAGGAGAAAGAGAGAGAATAGAGAGAGAGAGAGAGAGAGAAGAAAAGAAGAGAGGGAGAGAGAGAGAGAGAGGAGAAAGAGAGAGAGAGAGGAAGAGAGAGAGAGAAGAGAGAGAGAGAGAGAAAGCAATCAAGTTAACAATGAAAATTCAAATCTATAATAATATGTTAAAATAAGTTCACCAAAACAAATATTTATTGACTTTTCTTTATTTAAATATATCCTGCCAAATTTCTTCTCTGTCAGCCATCTGACAACAAGAGTTCAAAAATTACTCTTTCCCCACCAGATGAGTTTATTTAGACGATTATGTACACGTTCACATTTAATAGTTTTTATTTCGATTTTTCATAAAAAAATATTACGGTCAAAGATACATATTTTTACACGCTAAAATTTCATTTTATTCAAGGTTCGAGAACCACTCAAGGTAGAGTGTAACCTTTAAGAAAATGGTCATCCTGAATGAGTTAAAAAGAAAGTGGTAAGAAATAGCAACAGAGTGGCGATAGATTTCCTTTTTTGTGTTTATGACAAAGAGACTGCGGAGAAGAGAAGCAATAGTAATGGCACACTAATATATAGGGTGTCCATAAAGTTCGTGTTCACTTTAAAAAATTTATAACTTTATTTGTATTTGCAATAAAGCTGATCGTTTTGTGTTCATTTTGTTTAGTTCTTTTTTCGTAACAGATTTAATGTTTATATAGAAGCTTAGAAAAAATTCAAATTGTGTGAGATAGGCATAAAGGTAGGCATGTAGGGCCTCCTTTAAAATTTGAAGGAAGGGCAAAAAATTTTTTTAAGTCATTTCAAATAGCGATTGCTGTATGAGTCTGTTACGAATTTTGAATCAAGCACGGGCAACGCCGGCCATGCTTATATTAATACATAAAAGGATTATTTATGCAGTGGTCTTTATAAATATGTAAATATGTGAAGTCTATGCCTTGAAACAGCTGTTTGCCTAGGATAAGTATCTAGCATATGTCCCTCTTCATGCCATGTTTCCGTATTACGGTATAGGACATCGGCAAGGTGCTTCTACTTCTTGGCAGTTCACAGAAAAGAAATGAAGAAACCTGTCTTAGATATTTCAACATTGTGACAGAGGTGTTGTAGTACTCGGACTCCGGCGTGACAGCGTCAATGCAGATTGGACAATGTTTGTCTTCGCCCATCTGTATGCCGACGGCCCCAGCAATGAATAACCAAGTTCCATGAATCCTGTAAAGATTTTCGCCTTCAGATAAGCTCGATTAAGACCATGTTCATGTATCAGTCAGCAGCAACTAATTTATGTCATGGCCCAACCATCTTCCCAACCATCGTAGACCCGAGTTCGAATTCCACTTGAATCCATTACATTCACTTACGTGCTAATACCCTTGGGAAAGGTATGAAACCTCTTCTCCACCCACCTATGGGTAAATATCAGGACAGAGTAGGTTCTATAGCCTTGTATGGCAACTGGTCTACAGCAGAAAGAAGTGGCAACTTACTGCAGGAAAAATCTACCTCGTCAGTCATGTACCGTAGGATACATGATCACCTAAGCGTGAATCATGCATGGCATATAACTGACTAAATAATCTACACCCAAAGAGCTATTCAGACTTTTAAGAATTTTGAAAATCGTGTTTGGGTAGACAGAGATATTCTTTTCATTTTATGTGCTGTGTCCCTTCAGGACGTAGGTGATCATGGCCCTCAACTTCTTCCTATCAGCTCTCAATAACCTTCGTCCCTCTGCCACCTCCCCCAGATCACGTTCTGTCATCCATATTTCTTGCTTAAAATTTTTTAACCAAATATAGGTATGACATGCGTTGCTTTCCACTGTCTGTCTTTCCCTCTATTCGAGCTGAGAGTCTCAGATTCTCCAGGCCTTCCTTTCTCATTATGTGTCCCAGAAATTTCAGCTGCCTCTTCTTGATGTTGAATATAAGCTTCTTTCTTGTTTGTATCCTGTCCAAAACCCCATCGTTGCTCACACGCTCAGTCTATGTTATCCTTGGCATCCTTCTGTAGAACCATACATCCGTTGCCTCGAGTTTCTTCATCTTTGAGGAGACCGTCAGGCATTTGTTGCCGTAAAGGAGAACTGATGTCACGTAGCAGCTCAGTACTCTTTTCTTTGTCACCAAAGAAAAATATACCTAAAAAACTTTTTTTTAACCTTTTTTTATGTATATTTTATTTTCAAACAAATAGTAAAAAAGGAAATGACGTTTCACATACGGCTTGGAGACAACCACGATTTTTCATAACCATTTTCGATTCTCACCTGTCGAAGTGCAGTTGAAAATGCACTGAAACCAAGTTGCATCTTTGTAGTGAGTAAAATGGTTTTGTCTATATGATAAAATTATAATTAATATATATATATATATATATATATATATATATATATATATATATATATAATGAATACAAAGAAAATATCCTTAGAAATTTTTAAATTGGTAGTAATTTATTTCATGTGATCAAACGCCCAACTCATAAAACCAAAATTTTGGGGTCGGATGAGATGGGCGTTTGGTCATGTGAAATAAATTATTACCATTTGATTTCTAAGCATTCCGCTTTCATTATTATATTTGCTCTGTTCTTACATTGAGGAATTTTTGGATCTATATCCTGCTTAGAATTATCCCTAAACTTAAAAATTTTATATATATATATATATATATATATATATATATATATATATATATATATATATATATATTGTTTTGGATTCCGAGATGAAATTCGGTCTCCAATGAATGACAAACGCAAGAATTAAATATAAGAAATAAAATGTATTTACAATGGGTACAATGGGTAATACTGTTAGTAAATCCAAGAACGCGGTTAGTAGCAATAACATATAGATATATACAGTCTCGAAGTAGGACTTCCTTAGAGTCTACGTGCTTGTAACTGACTTTTACAAGCGGTTACCTCACACTATTACTCTACTTCCAACTCAATCACAATCTCTGTCTTCTTACTATCTCACCAATCTCTCTATTCTGACTGACTCTGGGTATTTAACGGCAGCAGTCCAAGTAACACTTTGGTCGAGTCCACTTATATGAAAAAGGGGAGGACCCCATAACCCCCTCCCCCTCCTTAGATCCTTTTCTGGGAGGGAGTTAATATTTTTTAATA